CCCCCCCACACACACACACACCCTCCCATCCACCTCAGTCACCCGATGTCGGTCCGTCTGACAGTCGGTCAGTCAGTCAGTCCAGATGTCTGCGGTGAGAGCTGTCCTGTCTGTCACCGCACGGCGCCGAAGTCGGCGGCCATCTGCTCGAACTCCGATGGGTTACTGCCGCGGAAGACGCCGCTGCTGTTGGCCAACAGCAAAGCGTTGAAGCCCCAGTCTGCACGCAAGCACACACAAACACGCCCCCATGAGTGTGTGTGGCTTCTGTCTCTGTGTATGTGTGCGTGTGCAGGGGTGGCTGTGGGATGGTGGGGTGGTGGGCGTCAATACATACCGAAGATGATGATGGCCAGGCCGGCCAGGACGACGGCGAGAGTGATGACCTTCGACACCTGGGCTGGCTGCAGGCACCGCCGCCATCTGCACACACCCCCACACACACACGTTTTTGTCTGTCTCCCTGCTGTCTGTGCATCTGTGTGTGTGGGGGGGGGAGTGGTGGGTAAGGTAAGAGCTCACCGTGCAATGATTTCAGGCACTACGATGATGATGAAGCCGTAGACGACGGCCCTGTAGGTGCAGACGAGGGGCGGGTAGACCGACCAGTGCATCGGAGGGTCGCCCCACTCCCATATGGCCCGTTTGGCAACCTGCACACACACACACACACAGAGAGAGAGAGAGAGAGATAGAGTGAGAGGGAGAGAGAGAGAGAGTGAGAGATGTCCATCTGTGTGGGTGGGCGGACGGAATGTGTGGTGCTCACGTCGTAGTAATCGGCCTGTGAGTCGAAGAAGGTGTACTTCGACTGCATGGCGACGATGCCGCCCGCCCACACAGCGATCGACGCCCCAACCTTCACACACACACACACAGAGAGAGAGAGAGAGAGATACGTACCCATCGTGTGGGCATCAATGAGTGATGCGCGGGCGTACCCATGTGAGCAGAGGGCACGCTATGAGGGAGCTCAGCAGCGCCGGCAAAAGAGACCACCGCCTAACCACACACACACAGACACGTGTGTCAACAAACGCACCGGTGGATGGATGGATGGACAATTGCGCACCTTGGGTCAAGGTTGAGTATCTTGAGTAGGTCGTTCTGGTGCGTGGCCTGCATCATGGCCACCTCGCCCGAGTAGCTGCCGCCCATGCGGCCCGACAGCAGCAGACCCGTCAGCAGCGGAGCCAGCTCGACCACAAACACAAAGGCCACCGCCAACTGATACACACCGACACCGACACCGACACAGAGGGCACAGAGGACACAGCACATGGGAGAGAGATTACAGTGGTCGCCGAGACCTCTCTCTCCCTCTCTCCTTGTGTGTGTGCGTGTGTGTGCGTGTGTGTGCGTGTGAGCTCACTTACCGCATAAACTTTTCTCTTGACTTCGATGATGATTGCATCGGTGAGGTCCTTGTTCTCCGCCACGATGATCGGGATGATCTCCGCCTACAGCCGGACGGACATGAAACATCAACACACACAGACACAGACACAGACACAGACGCAGACGCACAGACATGTAACACGCAATTCGTCCTCTGTGGGGTGTGTTTGTGTGGTCTGTGTGTGTGTGAGAGCACCGACCAGCGTCGGGACGTCATAGAGCATCTGGATGGGGTCGATACGGTCCAGCAGGTCGGCGAACAGCGTGCAGATGGCAAAACCTACACACACACACACAGGCATGGTGGGCATGGTGGTCCATGGTGGGCTGTGTGATTGTGTGATGGGTGGGTGGGTCGGTGGGTGGTTTCTCTCTGTCACTGACTGACTGACTGACTCACCGGCCGAGAAAAACGCCAATATAATGAGAGGGCTCGAGTACAGCAGATAGTCCACCAACCTGCACACAGAACACACACACATACACACCCCGACGGAAAGTAAAACATCTGTCCATCGAGCAGAGAGACACGGATGGATGGCTTACTTGAGCAGAAACCGCACAGCGAATTCGTATCTCGGCCACCGGTTAATCGCGGACCTCCAAGTCCGCCCACTCGCCTTTGTGGAACCACCTGCCTCACCTGCACAGCACACACCCACACACACACACCCAAACACACACATGGAGAATGAATGAATGAACGAACCGAAGCGACCACTATGGGACATTTCTTGAAAGAACGCACCCTTGTCGATTTGCCCGCCCCCGACGGGCGGGGTGCTCGGCTCTGTGCTGCCAAGGGACGCCTCTGCACACATCCACACATCCACAGTGCATGTTCGTTCTATCGGTGCAGCCGGTGCCTACCCGGCATAGCCAGCGGGGTCCCCGCTGTCGTCATCATCTCACTGTGCTGTGTGTGCTGCTGCTGCTGCTGCTGGGGGTGAAGGTGTTGTTGTTGGTTGGTGACAGCCAGGGTGTCAGCGGTGGTGGCCCGTGTGGCGGGGGAGCCGGGCGGGAGGGGCGGGAGAGGTGCCGACGGACCCACAGGCAGGCGCGGGAACTTACCTGCCAGCAGTGGACACCAATGAGGATGAGGGACCACATCCACCGCATCCATGTGTGTATGTGTGTGTGTGTGTGTGTGTGTGTACCATTGCTGGTGTCGGTGTGGTTGGTGGCCTGGTCGTCACTCTGCTTTGGCTTGAGTGACACGATGTGCGACGGGTGCAATCCCAACACCTGCACACCACACGGAGGGATAGCATGATGGCCACATGGGCGGGCGAGTGGTGTTCTGTGCTGTGGTGTGGTGTCAGGTGCGTGCCTACGAGGTCGTGTTGGTGGGAGATGACGATGAGGGCCACGGGGTAGGTCCGGCGGAGATACGATATCAGCCGACTGATCTCCACTGCTATCTCTGGGTCCAAACCTGCAGTCAGTGTGATGACCACAGACAGACAGCACACCCAACCAAATGAGTGCTTCTCTGCCCCTCTCTGTGCCAGACAGACAGACAGACATACCGACGAACGGCTCGTCCAAAACAATGACGCTCTTCCGCTGAGCCAACACCTGCGCCAGACACGCCCGCCTGCACACACACACATACACACACACCTGTCTGTGCATCCTCTGTGGTGGTGGGTGGTGCGGTGTCACAGACCTGAGCATGCCTCCGGAGAGGTGGCCCGGCTTCTTCTGGCCATCACGCTCGGGCACCAGACCAACCTACAACAGGTGCACACACACGATTCAGAGACAGAGATGGACAATGCACTCATCGTGTGTTTGTCTTGTTTGTGAGAGCGTTTGTGCGTATGTACCCGTCTAAGCTGCTCGTTGATCGTCTTCCGGCCGCAGGGCAAGTTGCCAACCTTCACACACACACACACACACAGGTATGGGTGGGTACGGAGGTGTGAAGTGTATCAGTGTGTGTATCTTGTACCTTAGCCGATAGCTGCAGGTTCTCAAACACAGTTAGGGAGTCGATCATGACGCCGTTCTGGAACAGCAGACCTATCCTCGAGTGGTTCTGAACACACACACGAACACCCAACTGTACAATCTCTCTCTCTCTCTCTGTGTGTGTGTGTGTGGGGGGGGGGGGGG